CTAGTTTGTGATAAACGAGCTTTCATGGTGGTTGAATTTAATTCCACTCCCAGATAAACAAATGTCTGGGCCGGGAAAATCGAGCTTCCTTCCAATTTATGGCGAAGCCCAGATCTAACAGGTGTGATGTCAACACCTGATCCTGCATCAGCGCCTCCTGTCTGGAGTGACAGGAGCAGCAGATCATCCAGGTAAAACAAAAACCCTCGTCTCTGTGTTTTAGGATGATCGGTATGCGTTCTCTGGATGTTATACAACAGATCCAAAAAACGGTCTCATCCCTCCGATCCGTGAGTAAAAACCCTGTGTTTTCTCTCCGTTGGGGGACTCTGTAGATTACTTTTATCAGAAACACTTGGACTTCTGCATTTAGGAATGAGATTTAGTCTGATGATGACAGGACCGTTTTTATAACTCCTCTGAATGGAGGGGTTCGGGTTGCAAACTGTAATTTGTAACCATTTGCATAAAACCCTGTCCATCCATCTGAAAAAACGGCGAGCATGTTTTAGCCACTCTACGCAATGTTCGTAGGGTGAACGTGCGTTAAGTGATGTGTCACGTTTTGTACGGCTGTCAGCAGTCCGCCCCTCAACCGCCGTCATGCGTCGTGGGAATGTTTTCTGTGTGATCCAAGTCGAGACTTGTGCTGAAGGCGAAGCGTGTGACAGCTGATGACGCGGTGGGGCTGCGCGTTTGACGTCGCTGTGCGAACGTTGAGAGGCGGAGGGCGTGACTTCATTTACGCCGCGCTGTTGGAGTGAAGGCTGCTAGCCCCGCGGGAGCACACGTTTTTCTCTGGAGGGACGCACGCCGCTCTCGCTGGAGGGGCGCGCGCTGGAGGGAGGCGGGACTCATTACCGGGTTCGTTCAGCTGCTTCACGTTTATGCTGCCGTGAGTTGCCGAACGCTGAGACGCGGTGGGTGACGGCTGCCCGCGTTTCATTCGTTGAGACGGGTGTCGCTTCTTGTGAGAGAGAAGGACCTCCACCCGAACCAGCCTGCGGACCACATTTATACCGATGTGAGCCGGTAGTGCCGGGCAGCTGTGTGTGTGCGCCAGCATCAACGCAGCGCCGTTGGATGGAGGCTGTTTCATCCTTGTGATCGACTCGTCATGTCTAGAGCGGCGGTGAGTTAAAAAACCTTTAATTAAGGACACCGGCTCATGTGTGGAGGCTGTTTCATCCCACGAGTGCGAGTTGACACCGCTTGAGTGAGGATCGTGCAGTTCTAGTTGATAACGAGTTATTTTCGCTTACCGTTGTGCCGTGATCGACTCGTCATGTCTAGAGCGTCGGTGAGTTTAAAAACCTTATTTAAGGACACCGGCTCGTGTGTGGAGGCTGTTTCATCCCACGAGTGCGAGTTGACACCGCTTGAGTGAGAATCGTGCAGCTCGGGATTATAACGAGTTATTTTCACTTACCATCGTGCCCTGTAAGCGACTAGTAATGTCTTGGAGCGGCGGTGAGTTTAAAAAACCTTATTAAGGACACCGGCTCTTTATGTGTGCGGCCGCTGTGAGCTCATCCGAGCTTACAGACTGGCTAAAAAACAGACACTTTGATCATTAATGATGATTTATTTCAACTTTCGTGTCACTTTTACACACACCCTCCGGAGACCGTCATTTTGAGAAACTTCTCTCTCATGAGCTCTGCGATTGTTTGCCCAGAGCGCTGTCTTGCAGGCGAACTCTGGGGAAACGCTGAGCTGCAGGTTGCCGGAATGAAGAGGGCTGGATTCTTACGGGCGGGGCTGGTGGTGGAACTCAGCGAGAGCCGCGGCCGTGGAAAGTCGAAGCTTGCTCGCGACGGTCCCTCCAGCGGGCCGGGATGGACCGCGCGGCTTGATGAGGTGGCGCACAGCCTCTGGCACCTCCTCCGCCTGTTTCAATTCGCCAGCATGGTTTGAAGCTGCTCTGAACAGCGCGTCCGCGATGGGCTTCATCAGGTCTTGTGCAGTTTCTCCGGCAGCGAGGGGAGTAACGAAGCCAGGTGGATCGTTGGATCATCGTCATCCACGCTGCAGTCCTCGACACGCAAACCGTAGGAGAGGCACACATGTTGAGCTGACGTCAGCTGCCTTACAGAGGGAGTTCTTTGTCTCCAAGGCAGGTCTGCGGCCTTCAGTCCCTTGGACATGCTATATGCTAGTAGCGCACGTTGTTGCTAACTGCGGCTGCCTGAAAAACACATCGGTGGGCTCGATTGGAGAGCGTGGTCACCGTCTGGTTCATGTTCCTCCGGAGGGACGGGACGCTGCTCCAACCTGGGCAGCTTCGCTCCGAAAGCTTCCGCGAGGCTTGGCTCCGGGGGGGTTACCGAGGAATAGCCCCGCTCGGTGAATCCCTCAACTCTGGTGATGGGAGCGGACTGGGGACCGACTCCTCCAATCTACCAGGAAAGAACCGTCTGTGGCCTCGCCCGTCGAACGTCCTGTTGGAACGCGAGGCCGTATGGATCAAGACGGTGAGCCACAGTGGAGCCCAGTGAAAAACAACCTTCCCGCCGATCATCCGAACTGGCGGGAAAAAGGCGTGGGACGTAGAAAAAAGGGGTCCCTTCATGTCAGCCTCCTCCTGGGTTCCGCCGGGCAACCGTGAGGGCGCTGTCGGCCGGGAGCGGTGTGATCGCCGATGCGAAACGAGGTGGGATGGGGTGAGCATTCACTCAGCCCCCCTCCACCTACACTACGCTCCCCAGGAGGGAATGAGCAGCGGGGGCTGCAGCTGAGCACGCCTTGCCCCGGAGGAACCATCCGGTTCGCCCCGAGGGTCGGCGATAAGAGGAAAAAATACAAGATGGCATTGTCCAGCGTGTAGTGACCTGTCACTGGGAAATGTTCCCGACGCTTACCTTGGAATAAGACTGCTGTCATCTTCTCCTCGGGGAGGAGAACTCACCGGACGACCGGAGGTCGACTGCCGGGCCAAGCATCCTTCACAAAGGTTGGTCATTTACACAATTTATCCTCTTTGTTCTCCTGACAGTGCTATAATAGCTCGCTGAAGAAAAAATGGGAGCCGATTTCCCGCTCTTAACGTAATTTATACGGACCAGGTGGGGCCCACACAGCAGGTGGGCGTGGACTAAATTTTTTCAGTGCTTATGATCTGCATAACGGGATAAACCCATCAGCGACAGCCTTAAAGGGCGAAGCCTATATGACATAGAACCACTGTATCGACCTCTCCGCTCTAACCCTGTCAGAAAAACAAAGAGTCACTAATCTGGGCGTGATAATGGACCCTTCCCTGAAACTTAACAATCATGTAAACATGATTGTAAAATCATGCTTCTTCCAACTGAGGCGGCTGTCTAAACTGAAGCCCATATTGTCCAAAAAGAACCTGGAGATGTAATACACGCATTCATTACATCTAGGCTTGATTACTGCAATTCACTCCTGTTTGGTATCAGTCAGACCTCCATTGCACGACTACAACTGGTCCAGAATGCAGCAGCCCGATTTTTAACCAGTACAGGCAAAAGAGAGCACATCACACCAGTTTTGGCCTCACTGCACTGGTTACCGGTTCACTTTCGAATCCAGTTCAAAATACTCATGTATGTCTACAAATCACTGAACAGTTTCGCACCCCCATCTCTCTGATTTGCTACAACCGTTTGTCCCACCACGTTCCCTGAGGTCAGTGGACCAGTTGCTCCTCACATTTCCAGGAACTCGTCTTAAGCGCAGAGGGGACAGGGCCTTCTCTGTAGCAGGACCAAGTCTCTGGAACGAGTTACCTCTGCTTGTCAGACAGGCCCCCTCCCTCTCGGTTTTCAAGTCCCGTTTAAAAACCCACTACTATTCAGTAGCTTTCAACACCAGATGATCTGTGTTTTTGATCCTGTTTGCTCCACACTGGTTTGTCGTCATTATCTGCATCGTTTTTATGTCTATATTCTGATTTACCTCATTTTGTATTTTGCTTTGTGTGTTACCTGTTGTTTTGTCTGTACAGCACTTTGGTTGGCCTTGTAGCTGTTTTAAGTGCTTTATAAATAAAGTGGTATGGTATGGTAAGAAGCGATTTAAAGATGAAAATGTACCAGTGAGAGAGTCTGCGTGAAGTTAATGATGACCAGTTAACCAGTGAATACTGGGTGCAATGGGTACGATAGTTGCACCCAGTTATGAATCTTAGTGCACTATGATAGACAGCATCCAACATCTGCAGGGTTCTTGTAGGAGCGTTCATGTAAATAATGTCACCGTAATCAATGGAGGGAAGGAAAGTCACAGATACAAGGTGTTTCCTAGCATTCAGAGTTAGACAGGATCTATTTCTGAAAAAGAAACCCAGTTTAACTTTCTGTTTCCTTACTAGGTTTTCCACATGTAGCTTAAAAGAGAGATGCGAGTCGACCAAGATACCCAAATATTTATAGGAATCAACAAACTCAATGGGGACATCTAAAAAAGTTAAATCTGGTCCTCTGGACATTCAAAAAACAAAACGACAACAAAAAAACGTAGAAACGTTTCGTCTTTCAGAAATTTCAGAAACTAGTATTCTGTCAAATTTGTAAGATTTTTTTTCTTCTTCCCATTTTTAGGTTTCACTCATGTCCAAACACCACAGTTCGCTAGAGGCAACGTTTTTGCTGTCCAACCCACCAAACAGCTTCAGGAGCAGGACAAATACAAAGCTTATCTCAAACAGCAGGTATATTTTAACCATCTTTTACAATATCATCTTTTTGTCTGTTTACGGTCATTACACATGCTATAAATAGCCCTTACTATAAAGCTAGGATGCTAATTTTCATGTTCTCCTTGGACAGCTGATACATTGTTAGCCTATAACCATAATACCACATTACCAAAAGGTAATATGATAATATGGAGAGGTCAGGCCATATTTAATCTGGTACTCACAAAACAAAAATTGCTTTTTTACATAATTTCCTAACCCAAATTATATTTTTGTAATGTTGATGATAAAATTATATTGATTTTCTAAGTTTGTTCTTGTATAGAAATTTTAATATTTCTAATCCTCTTTCTTCACTTTCGTCAAAATGACTCATAAGGCTCAGTTTTAAAGCTGAGGCATCATGGGACTTGAGGAGGGTAAAGTACTGGCCTGATACCAGGGGCCTCATGTGCATATGCACTAAAGGTTTTCATGTGCCAGGTTCTGGCACATGTCGGTATTTATCAAAATGAATGTTGAGTGAAAGTGTGCTTGAATATACACACACTTCTGACCTGCTATGGGAATGTACTTACATTGTGCAATTTTTTTCAGTTTACATTATCAAAGTACAAAGTGCTGAAGCCTACCTAAGTATATAATGAAAGACGCCATTTGATTTTCTGAACGCAGGAGACATTTAAAGTACACAATATATTTTCACGAGATTGAGCATTTATGGTTTAAATCCAAACGAGGAAACTGAACCACATTACATCTCATGAAACATAAAATATAACACGCTTCAAAAATGATTGAAACAGCTTCACTTTAATATAAAACCTGTAAAGATTATGTTTTTGTCACATATAGATGTAAATATGCAACAGTGACAGCACACCTGCAAGGCACACAGATAGATGAGGCACATAAAATGTGTGAACATTTTGTAAGAGGCACTTCAGTTCTCACTGACAAAAAAACTTGCTTATGCATATTAACTTAGCACAGCTCATATGTCATTCCTGTTAAGGGAGGCCAGTTTCCCTCTGCGTGTTTATTTGATCGGACAGGTTCTGCTCCGGAGACTTCACCTTAGTTTAAGAGAGTTTTAATACACACCACAGTTAAAAGTATTACAAAAACAATGTTCTGAAATGCATTTCAGGAGACAATAGAGGCGTACTTCACCTGAGAAGTTGCTCAGCTCAAAATTGTCTGACGCTACTTCCTGTTTTAGGATAATATAAGCTCTTCATGGACCCGCCTCCCTCTCAGAGGGGGCTCTTATCCTATTGGCTGACCACCTAATCAATCTGTGGTTACCATGGCAACCACACCATCATATTTCTTATCTTTCAAGTAAAAACTAGTTTTAATTGGCTTTTGGTGCCAGTCTCGAAAGTTACTTTGTTCTTTGTTTCTGCCTACAGAAAAACGATTCGGCCCCTCCTTCCTGCTCAGTGCTGTACTGTATGAAAACAAGTATTTCACCTCTGTGTGATAAAGTATAAGTGAACAAATACAAAAATAGATATGATGTGAATAAAGTATAAAATATAAAACTATGCAAAAAGTGAACACACAGTGTATAAAATAAAGTGAATAACACAACCAGCCAGTCTATTCATCATTCCTCAGAACAACATGGTGTAGATGAAGACGACATATATATCCAAAAATAGCTGTGTAAAGTTGTGCATGATTGTGGAAGAACAGCAGCTATGTTGCTGCTGGAAGATATCACCAATGTCCTCCAGCTCAGTCTTTCCTGAGCTGTGTCATGCCAGCTGGGTCTGATGGCCTTACCCATATGATACCCAGATATATCCAATTCTCCAACACTTTGACTGAAACACTTCATTGATGTGCAGCAACTTGTTTCTTCACATTAACTATTTTTTAACTAATCCTCTAGGTTCTATCATTTGGGCCTAATATTTATTTAACCTTTATTTAGACAGGTAAATCCCAATGAGCCTCGAGAACTCATTGACAAGAGAGACCTGATTTCTTAACAAAGAGTGATGACAATAATGACAACAATAATCAGGTCTCTCTTGTAAATGAGTCCTCGAGGCTCAATGGGATTTACCTGTCTAAATAAAGGTTGAATGAATAGACAGTCATAAAATAGGCATACAAATTTGTTTCTCTTTTTTTTCTTTTTTTTAAACATATCAAAACAAAATAGCAACCAAAAGGACAGTTAGAGGAATACCAGCAAAAAACAGTTAGATCACAAGTCAAATGTCTGCATTGGCTTTTCCAAGGTACTTAATTAACAGGGTTTTTAAAGTCACTTAGAGAGGTCAAGGTCGAGAGCTTGAGATCTTTTTGTAAGATATTCCAGGAAACAGGAGCGGAGTAGGAGAAGGCTCTTTTGCCTAGTTCAGACCTCACTGAGGGAACACTGCAGGTAATAATGTCCTGAGAGCGCAATAAATCCAGCCCGGACCAGACTGAGCCTGTAGTTTTTTTTCCCCGATCCCTACCTGGACCAAACGGATTACCGGTTATTAGAGGGCCAAACCCCCCCAAAATATATATATATATGTATATATTTTTTTTATATTATTAAGCTTTTATTGCTTTTGTAAGCAAATCAGTTTGACATGATAGTTTTAAAAACGTAATGAAAGGAAGATATAAGATTTATTTTTATTAACAGGTCAGGATATTAACATACAAAACAAATAGCCTTAAAAAAAAAATCAACTCTAAAAATAGGTTTATTGATCAACAAAAATATTTTTAGAGCAAAATTATTTGGAAAACTATAGAACAAGCCTATTTTAATTTAGATATAAAAAAAAGTTGTTCACAATTAAGCTGAGTCCCGCTGTCGCTGATGACGGAGCGATTTAACGTTCACCCGTACTACACCACAGAGAATAAAATTGCGTGTGCATGAAAAATAAATTGGAAAGTCCTACAACAATGTTTACACTAATTCATTCAACAAACTATCTATAACAAATAACAGACAGTGGGTAAAGATAATGGCTGGATGGATGGGCTCAAAGAAAAGACGGAAACTAATTAGTTTCCGTCTTTTCTTTCAGCCCATCCATCCAATAATGGGAGTGATAAAGAACAATAAACATTATGAAAAAATGTATTAATAAGAATTGCACAAACATGAACAAAATAAAAAGTGAACATATAAAGCTGGCTCAGTTTGTGCCGGGTCTGTCATATAAGCAGCCACACAGCCTCATTTCTTCAGCTATGAACCTGTGAAATAAAGCTAGAATTAGACCCCAGTTGCCTAAATACAAATTTATAAATATATTTAAAAATCTGTCAAGAAGTTATTGTGTTCTCCTTACACGGTTTTACATGTTGGCAATAACAATATTGCGTCCACTGTAGCAGGTTTGAGCGCAGTTCTCCGCTGGTCTGTGTGGCCAGCTGCGCTAAAATTTCGCTCGCTGCTGCTCGCTGCTCCTCGCTGCTCCTCGCTGCTGCTCGCTGCTTCTCGCTGCTGCTCGCTGCTGTAGTGAACCTGATCTGACCTCAAATTCTGATCAGATGAACAGAGACTGTTATTTCATTGATCTGCATCCAGAAATACAGTTTGAGCCATCTGGTGACTTTCTTTCTTGAATTAATCGAGTAGAAAAGACAATTCTCTATGATCATTACTATTTTACAAATGTTTGATAATCAAATTGTGTTAGTTCACTCAATGTTTACAGGTTGAAGAAAGCTACTCATTTTATTTTACATAAACAGTAAGTAATGATTTTTATTCCTCATTCAAAGAAGAAATCAGGTTAATATGCATTTCTTGATTTTTCTGTCTGCAATGAGCGAGTTTTGTAAGTATGTTAAAGGTCGGCTCTCGGTCAACTAAAATGTTTACTGAGAAAAAATGTCAGGTTTAAACTTTTTCAGAAGATAATAAGAGGGAGACTCCACGAAGTCTGGCTTTCTGCAATAATCTTTCTGTCTGTTTTTAAACAATCTCATTCTCTGACCTCGAATTTGATAACATCTTACATCACAAACCACACCTCTATTCTGATTCATCCACGAATCAGAAAGCTCTAAATTGACCCGGAAGTCAACTCATTTAAAATGTGGCAACTTCCCGGTTCTTGTTAGAGAGTTGGAGAGTGCCAAAGTCTGAAGTCTGAAGCCAGACGCTGAAGATTAATGGAGCTAAAAAGAGTCTGATGCTGCAGAGCTCTGAGAGTTCCACACAGAGTGCTGATGAGTTGATGGAGTTAGAGTTCTTGGATGCAAACGCGTTCAGGATGATCCAGAGACGTTTTGGGATTATAACTTCTGTTTGAACAACCTCGTACGACTCTCGAAGGATTTCAGCTGCTCAACGGAGACGCTGAAAGAGTCTGAAGGATTCTATACCGAGCTGATTTATCATCAACCAGGTAACGATCTACTTCAACCGAGTGTACCGTCGCAAGCTGAGATCTGATGGAGCGTGCACGTTCTGGTCAAACAGATTAATTCCCTCACAAATCTCTCTGTAAGATAAATCTCCATTTCCATCTTAAACTCTCCTTTCTCCTAAAATCAGTACAGATATTTAGAAATATCTGAAGCTAAGTCCTCAATCACCGCCGTGTGATTGAAGCCCATTTTCTGTGAAACTTGTCTGTTATTATTTTCATATTTTGCCAAATTAATGTAAATGTTTGATGTTAAACTTTGATTCTGAAAATAAATGACCGCATTCATTTTGGTGGGTCAAAGATAAATAACGTCTCTC